AAGCTGAAGTAGCTGGCTTCAGCTTGCAGTCTCAATACGTAAACACAGACATATATGAGTATTGAGTACTGTTTTATTTACTTACCAGATTGTCCGACCTCCTCACTCACTTTCTTTCAAGCAAGATCCTTTTTACTCCTGTTTCTGTAGTGAAATGAGCTGCTGTCATACAGCTTGGGATGGCCGCACACCACAACGATAACCCGCTCCTCCATTTTAAATTCTGCCTCCTCTCGTCATGTCAAAAGGACGCAACTAGAGCAAGCTCCTGAGTGGTTAACGCGACGCAAATGTCCGCCAAAGTTGAGATTTCTGAATTTGAGTGATTTGCGCGTCAAACGCGCAAAACGCTCAATTCGTACAGCGCCTATCGCACCATTCGCGTCGCAGGACGTCGATTCGCGCGTTTGCATTGTCTTAACATGTAAATCACTCGCGCTTGACGCGCGTGCCGCGTCCAGTGTGAACGCAGCATTAGAGAGGACAAGTCTGTTTATATTTCACTAGTCTAAATAATCTATTTAATTAATTTAATTAATAAATTAACTATATCAGTTATCTATTTAACTTTAGTTTACTTAGTTAAGATGCCTGTACTAAAGATAATTGTTTTTTCTGATTAGTCTATATTGGAGGTATGTATTTAATTGTTGTTTGCTTGGGTATTCTGACTGTACTAAAATGTGAAAACTGAAAATTCTGTGACCATTAACTCACCTTTACTTGTTCCAAACAAGATTTTATTTTATTTTTTTCTGATGTTGAACAATAATATCCAATAACTTATAATCTCTTTGGTTGTTAAAAACAGTAAATGCTGAATTAAGATTGTTCTTTTGTTTATTGTTTTATTATTTATATTGTCAGACAGCTAAAAAAAATTCACTATATGTGTTGAATCAGCTGCGCAAAGCGATTGGCATACAAAAAAATCTTGTAAAATTGATAAATATAAAGATTTTACGTTTATCGTGATAAATATCGATATCAACTGATATGAAAAAAATTATTGTGATATTTTTTTTGCCATATCGCCCAGCTCTACTATACAGTAGTGAGAACAACATCAACTGCATTACAAGTTCAAAACAAAAACAACACCTGGTACCGTTTAAACCATTGTACCAGATTTCCTAAGCTAAGAAACAGTAAAAAAAATGTAGCAATCTAGCACAGGAAGTACATAAGCAGCATAAAACAAGTAATGACTCTCTTGAATTTCATCATGGACAACATGAACTGGTTGGAGGAGAAACAGCGGACCTGTCGATTTATGTAAAACCGCCGGCCTCTGGGGAACAACAGGAGGACCCTACTATGGAAGGAAATCATGCTACTGTCAATGATAATACAGAATGCATATGTGAACATGAGTAAAGAGATAATCTTTCCCCAGATGAAGGACAATCGGATAATGAAATGGAATGAGACCTATCAACAATCGACTTCTCAGCCTTACTGAAAAGGGAAAAGCTGACCGATAAGCTGAAGGGGACCACTGCTGCATCAACATTACAAATATTAACCTCCAGAGGTGGATAGTAGTCAAGGAAAATGCTGGACAAGACAAAAACTTGAGTAATTGGTTTGCCTCCATATTTAAATCTTGGGGACAATGGTTGATAAAGTTGACGTATTTGGAGGTTACCATACTTGTTTTAGCTTAACTTTGTTGCTGTGTTGTGTCATTCATCAGATCAATGCTAGCCAGTGCTGCTGCCACACACATGGTTACTGTGCAAGTACAAGGAACCGTGCAAGCCCACCTCAACAGTGACTATGGCTATGAAAATATGCTTCCAAAATCCTCAGATTGGTCCATTGATGAGAACGTTACCACAAACCTGCTTGGATGAGTATCAAACCTTTTTTATCTTTTGTTTTTGAGTGTGCCGTAATTCTTGTTTTTATGTTATTCCTGTTTTGTGGAAAAGTAAGGGAGATTTTCAAGCGTAGACAGACCTTTAGAATAATGAATAGTGTAGGCAGGTAGTTAGAGGATATTTTGTTTTTTATTTTGGCACTTAGACTCTTTTACATATATATGCCAAAAATTATTCCTATACAATGCAAGTAATCTTATGTTGTTTTCTATTTTCTTTTTCCTCTCGTTCTTTTTTATCAGAATGACATGAATGAAAGGAGGGTTTCAAGCAGGTCATTATCTGTGCTACGAGACAGAAGTGCAAACAGAAGGACCTGAAATTAAGGATATTAATCCTATAATCTACAATATTATCTTTTAATACTATATTGGTTATGTTTCTGGGTATGAAATGGACATTTATCGAAGCTGCAGGGTTCACATACTCACAGGGAAAAAGGACTTGAACTGAGTGCTTAATGGAACCAACTGTCACGACCCGGCTCAAAGGCAATGACAAAATCAAAGGGACGACATACACCAGATGGTTTGGTACCAAAAGTATTTATTTAAACATTAACGAATAATAAAGTGCTCACTTTAGGTAAGCCAAAATCAAAGATTAACCAAAGCTAAAAAGAAACTAAACAAAACAAACAGGAGCAAAAGCACGGCTTTCCAGAAGCCAACACTGCTGGCTTTTATAGAGGGGAACTCAAGTGTTCCCAATTGAGCAGATGAGTCTCTGTCCTTCCCGCTTTCGGCCGATCAGTGGGTGGGTCAAAGAGACTTGTCACACCAACGATCATCTTGAAGCTGGCGAATGCTGTAAGAGTAGGCTCTACTGATGGCTTAAAAGCCTGCTGCTCGCTCCAACACCAGACAATACTTAGTAGTACCTCTGGCAATGTGGGAGCAATCATCTGAAGACCAGTAGACAGTATCTTTTACTCCTTTCTAATCAAATAAAGGGGGAGATGTTTGGTTCCGCCTCTCCACTGGAGTGCAGCATAGGGAGGTTGACATTTGGTAAAGACTGTGAAAGGCAACTTTTTGTTGCATTAGTGAGGTTGATTGTACTGATATGTTCGTACCTTATGCTGCATTCCGGTTGAGGGTTAGGAAAGAGACTTTCTTTTGATATAGTCCCTCTAAAGGCTGATTTTTACTTCTGCGTCAAGCCCATGCTTATGCTACGGCGCTGACGCATAGCCCTACGCCGTGGCCGTCGATGTTGCTGACGTGCACCTGTCAAAAAATTTAACTACACGTCGTGCGCAAGCTCTGTGATTAGTCGGCTTAGTAGCGCTGACGAGTCTGATTGGGACTGAGAGCCTTGCAGGCCCAATAGAGCGATTGTTTACAAGTGTGAAGTCCCGTGAGGAAGCTCCAGATAAAAAGTTTGTTTTGTGTTTACCTCATAGTAAAGTTGTTGCACGTCCGCCGGTTTCTGCTTAAAAAAGAGCGAGTTTGAGTCACTTGTACATTCAGGAAGTGTTCAGGAAAAACAAAGCACCAGCGAAGAAACTCAACACAGAGGAACATTTACACCTCACTGCCAACTAGCGTTTCGGAAGTGTTAATGCAGACCAACAGAGACAGCGCGCAGAAGTATAAATGCACAGCTACGCGTTGAATATTTAGCAGACCAGAATATTTTTTCCACAACAATTTACAATCACTTGTCTAACTGTCTTTGAATAAATCATAAGGTATGAACTCCTATTTTACAAACATACAAGGGCAATTAATGTCTATTTGCTCCGTGCGCTGCTCCAGATAGACAAACAAGCTACATCATCCTTTACCTTAGGTTCTTCGCAACAATATTAGTCCATTTTCAGCTTTTTCTGTTCTTGTGTGAATGAGTAATCCCCTGCTATGTCTTGTAAGTGCCAAATGCAACAAATTTGGGTCATGAAATTCCAAAATTCAAAAAAATACGATAACGTATTTACAAAATGACCCTTTTTTTTATACTAGTCATTTTTCAAAATCTTTTGTTAGACTTTGCACATTACTTTTCTAAAATATCTATTTATATATAATTGCAGTTTATTTATATTTGTACATTATTTATTTTACATTTAATGTGTGAAGGCCGTTTGGACATTGAAAAATAAAATGGAAAAAAGTACTACTGTGCCATTTGCTTTTTTGATATAGTGTTATGATTTTGATGTGGTTATGAAAAAGTAAAATTATGATTTTTGTGATAATAACCCTTGTAATATCTTGTTTTTCACTTTTGACAGGTAGGAAACTTGTGTTGTTTTTTCCCACCCTTCGGTTAAACTAAAATGATTCTTGCATACTACATGATTAAGACAAAATAATTTTTTCTCGTGCGTCCTGACATATGCTGGTAACAAACAAAAACTGTCCTCAGTTTGATAGAACACACAGGGCCTGAGTTATGCACTAAGACTTGCTTTAAAACAAAAAAAAACAAAGCTGTTTGTGTTGAGGTGGTTCATCATAGGACAGAAAACATATATATCAATAGTTAGCATTTAACAGCAGTGTTTTTTGTAATTTCAAAGGGTTTTCTTTAAAATGACATCAAGATATAGCATTTATTGTACTTTATGTGGGTGTGGTGAGACTTTAAATTTAGGTAGGGGGAAATACTTTTTTTTTGACATGTTACCTTCTTCCAGTTGGAATAGAATAACTCTTGCATGCATTATTATAGGGAGAAATGTATTTTTCTTGTGTTTACTGACACCTGCTGGAAAAAAATGGAATTTTGATGGAGCACTCAAGGCCTGAGTTCCACATTTTTAACTTCAGTTTATATAAAACAGTATTTTATGAAATTTCAAAGGATTTCTTTTAAAATTATACCAAACTTTTGTATTTATTCCTATGCATGTGGTTATGGAAAGCTTTTTTAAATCGGAAGGCCAAATTAAGGCGGAAATACCCAAAATAGCCCAAAAGCTTAACAGGTCAATTTCTGATGAGCTGCTGAAACTCATCCCACACTGATGTTGCGGTCACACTAGAGTTTGAGCATGCGACATTTTGTTGTATGGCGCTGCGAAAAGGGGCGGGATTAAACAAGATGATTAGACATTAAAAAAAGTGAGCGATTGTCCAGAGAGGTCATGTTTTGATCTTCGATTGGTCTCACACAGTCAAGTAATGCGATTTCGCAGGTCAGAGTTTACCGAGCTTGAACTCTGCAACGCAGTGAACTGCAAAACTTGATACACAAACTTTCGTTTACAGTCTGACGGATTTGCGTGCATATGAATGGAAGTCTATGGGGAGAAAGGTCCAGTGTAACCGTGGCTTAGGTGCAAGTAAATGGTTTCTCTCCAGTGTGGATCCTCATGTGTCGGTTAAGTTGTGATGATTGTATGAAACTCTTCCCACACTGAGTGCATGTAAATGGTTTCTCTCCAGTGTGGATCCTCATGTGGTGATTAAGGGATGATGATTGGCTGAAACTCTTCCCACACTGAGTGCAAGTGAATGGTTTCTCTCCAGTGTGGATCATCATGTGTTGATTAAGGTTTGATGATCGGCTGAAGCGATTTCCACACTGAGTGCATGTGAATGGTTTCTCTCCAGTGTGGATCCTCATGTGGTGATTAAGGTGAGATGAGCAACTGAAACTCTTCCTACACTGAGTGCATGTGAATGGTTTCTCTCCAGAGTGGATAGTCATGTGTTCATTAAGGGATGATGATTTGCTGAAACTCTTCCCACAGTGAGTGCATGTGTATGGTTTCTCTCCAGTGTGGATCATCATGTGTAGATTAAAGTTTGATGATTGGCTGAAACTCTTCCCACACTGAGTGCATGTGAATGGTTTCTCTCCAGTGTGGATCATGATGTGTCGGTTAAGTTGTGATGATTGTATGAAACTCTTCCCACACTGAGTGCATGTGAATGGTTTCTCTCCAGTGTGGATCCTCATGTGGTGATTAAGGGATGATGATTGGCTGAAACTCTTCCCACACTGAGTGCATGTGAATGGTTTCTCTCCAGTGTGGATCATCATGTGTTGTTTAAGAAATAATGAGTGTCTGAAACTCTTCCCACACTGAGTGCATGAGAATGGTTTCTCTCCAGTGTGGATCATCATGTGTTTATTAAGGTGAGATGAGCAACTGAAACTCTTCACACACTGGGAGCATGTGAATGGTTTCTCTCCAGTGTGGATCATCATGTGGTAATTAAGGGATGATGATTGCCTAAAACTTTTCCCACACTGAGTGCAAGTGAATGGTTTCTCTCCAGTGTGGATCCTCATGTGAATCTTAAGATCGCCTTTTCTTCCAAAATTACTTCCACACTGAGTGCAGGTGAAACGATTCTTGTCTCTCCTTTTCAAAATACCATCAGTCTGTAAATGAGTTTTTTCCTCAATTTTGACATGATGTTCCTCCTCTTTCCTCTCATTCTCTTCAATTAGGTCTGAAATAAATAAAACATTAGTTTTCATTAAGTCTTAAAACCCTCATCAAAAGCGTAAAGGTGAAAAGACACTGGAAACATTGGCTACACACTGTAATTTTGATGCACATTAAATGTAAAATAAATCAGATCATATTTTGTTCAGTCCATTAACGTATGCACATTTAAGCAGATTCAATTCATCTTCATCTAGTCCTTTTACAATGCAAGTTGTGCTGAAGCCACTTAACTTAGAAGTTCTGGTAAATTGAAACTGTGTCAGTCCAGCTTTCAGAGTTTCTCATAAAAGTCATTTTGGTCATATTGATCAGACACAGATTTGAAAGCTGTAAAAAGCCTATTTTTATCCATATATATTCAGAATTACAACAAAATGTTTTTCTAAAATTTGTAAAGCAGACAGGAGATACTTGTTCATTCTGTGCCTGACTGGTAAATGCATCGGAAAAAAAAAAAAGTTCTGAGGTAACAGTTGAACAAACAGCTGAATATTTGCCTCGCAAACATGAGACATACCTGTACAGCATCTGCATAAAGGCTGAAATATGCACCTTTCCCCTTGTGTGCTGTTGGGTCATTTTCATCCATTCTGGGTTGATTTTGTGGATTCATTTGGTCAAAACTTTCTGTGTTTTAACAAACGGACTGATATTTGGGAACATCTTATTTTGACATAATCTGGGAAAATGCTTTGAAATAAAAAGCAAATCTCTCATCCGTTTCTGTAATAGTTAAATTACAGTGAGTTCATGCATCTAGCATATTGTTTTATAGCTATATTCTACTGTAACATGCATATATACATATATATCTCACAAAAGTAGCAGAACATTCCAGGAAATCCCTAATATGGATGACAATTAAAATTACAGTTAGCATTAAATAATAAATCGACTTTCTTATAAATATACCTAAGATGGCTGGAAGTACACATATAAACCATTTATTGGCGCAGTCGTGTAAATGATCAGTTGAAGCCTTTTAATATTTACTCAGATCTTATTTTCATTCAACAGCAATAGCTGGATGCCTTCATCCATATTAGGGATTTCCTGGAATGTTCTGCTACTTTTGTGAGGCATATATGGAATTTCTGCTCAAGTGTAAATGAAACAGGCATTACATGCATTTAAAGTGCTACAATGCCCACATAAACCTATTTTGAGGAAAACTAAAAAAAAAAGAAAATAAATAATTTTCTACTTAAGAAATAATTTATTGTACCATTTTTGATACAATTGTTGTTATTTAAAAAATAGTAGCCTATTGAACATCAATATATAGCAAAGTAATGAAGTCAGAAATTCCAGTATCTGGACAACATTACACCTTTGGAGGAGATCGGAGGCTCAAGAGGTATGATATGGCTCATAACAGACTAGTAAATGAGAAGTGGGTTAATTTATAAATGTTTTTTTCCATTTTGATGTTACGAGTTACGCTGGATCTAATCTCACTATATTTGCTAAAAGTGATATTTAATTCACCTTGTTCTCTGTATCTAACGTAGGGCTGGACAATAATATAATATCAATATATCACGATAGATTTTTTTTCAATAACGGTGATATGATTTTTAAACTCATTTCCGATATTTCGATACATTTGTGTATATGTTTTACATATGTTTTATTATGTTTTGTTATATAATATATATATATATATAATATATATATATAATATATATATATATATATATATATATATATATATATATAAGATTTTCTACCTTGTATCATTTGTCACTAAATGACTTTCCGTGCTCAGAATGAGCGTGATGTCACTTGCATGATGACAGCGCTCAGAAGTTGGTTAAGCTGCTCTGCCACAGAAAGCTACAAAATGAGCGACCTAAATACACATATAGAGGAACAAGCTTCCAGAAGTAAGAATGCAGACAAAGTAGTTGATGTGGACGTTGTTCGGCTTTTTAAGTTCCGATCAGCTTTTTGTTTCGGCGCTCTGCAAACTGTGCGGGAGAGCGATGCCGACTAGCATCGGAAACACATCAAATAGGTTCATAAAAGTTTAAATCAACCTGTCGCCTCACCATCCACCTTCCCGACACCAAACACAGATGGCTATGAGCCGCAGTGTAGGGTTTTGCATGTCTACACATGAATATACACATATAAACATATACTATGTTCAAAACAAGTATGACACTTGCACATATTTAAACCTACTGCATGCATACACCCACATACACATACACAGACATATAAACTCGATCCGAACATAAACTTAATCCTTGGATTAAATTAAACACAAACACACACAAACACAAAACTCTCTGCATGCTGGTATAGCACGCAAGGAAACTTACAAAATAAAATTCACAAACATATGTATCAGGAATCTGGTTATTTCAAAGCTGATGAAATAGAAAGAATTTGAATAATAGAAGTATTAAATCTGTTAAATAATGAAAATGTGTTATACAAAATGTTAGTTTATATAAATAGACAATATAAAAAAAATAGAACTATTTTATGTTAAATCTTTTAACTTAATTAGGTAAATACATACACAAAAATAGTCAGAAAGAACCCTAAAAGGACGTTTAAGATAAAAAGCAACCAGAACTTTAAATATACTCAAACAACTCTTTTCCTTTGCAAATATTAATGTAGCCTATACTCTTTTTAATTTGTTTTTTAATTATAATTATTATTCTTTTTCTATTTGGATTTTGGCATTATTTGACCAGAAATAATAAACTGCAGAAAACAGTCACGCTACTTGCTCTGCAAACAGGTGTGTTCATGACTATAAATACAAATAAAAATAATAAAATGAGAAAATATGACTTTGCAACATCAAGCAGCATTAGGCATGGGCCAGTATAAGATTCTGACAATATGATATCCTAAAATATATTTTCTTCTGAGAAACTTTTAAAACATTTTTGAGCAGTAAACATGTCAGGCTAAATAATTGAAATGAATCACAGATTTCTTTACGATTTAAAACAGCCTCTTTGGTCTTTACTGCAGGAGATACTGTTGTCCTAAAAAACAAAACATTAAAAAAAATCTTACATATACTGTAGGAACGGTGCAGCAGGAAATGTTGGCGGTTTTAAAACCTTGACTTTTCCAAACTGCGGTAAACCTTGAATATAGTTATTGTCCCATGCCTCAGCAGCATAACACTGATATTTATGATCTAAAAATTTATTCTTTAAAAAAGTCTCAAACAAAAAGATTCTAATGGCGCCGCCTGTTGGTGCATGAAGAATATGGTCTATATTCTGCGAATGTAAAATATTTTATAACAATTAATTATTTTAGTGTCCATTTCATTTAGCATGCGCTTTATTGGGGGGATCCACATTTTTTACATACTGTAAACCAGAGTTTCTGCAGGTTTTACAAAGATTAAATTTAAGACTTTTTATATTTTTAAGACCATTATGAATGAAATTTTAGACTCATAAAGGGCTAAAGGCTAAAGAACTTTTCAAATGGCCCAGATGGAAAAGATTTTTATTTGCCCCATCAAAATAAAATTTCTTTTTAAAAATAAAAAAATGAACAAATGTTTTTAAAGTTTTAAAAACTATAACAAACTAAATCTATGCACAACAATCTGTCCAGGTTGATATCCACAGCAGTAAATACATGGAGCACGTTTAAACAAATGTTATTGGGAGTAAAATAATTAAACCATTATGATAAATAGAGTTAAAAAGACCTTTTTGAATAAAAAGTTGAAAGTTTTATTAAGTTGAATTGTTGGTGATTGAATAGGTTTTGGCCAGATTGGGTAGAAAAACATGAACAAAAGAAAATAAAGACTTGTATAAAAAAGATTTAAGACCTACAACACAACATTTCAGTAAATTTAAGACTTTTTAAGGCCTAAAATGTTAAGTCTTTTATGAGAATACTGTAGGTCAAATATCGTCAGCTTAGTTAAACCTTTTATTAATTTATTGTTTTTATTTATTTTATAAAGCACTAAGGATGCTTTACAAACAGTAAAAGAACAAGAAAAGCAATAACGTTAAGAAGGTAGAGAAAATGGGAGACTAAAAACACATAAAAGACAAAAGACATGAGAACAAGTGACGAAAGAAACTCATTCTGTCTTTTAATGAGTGCTTATGTGCATTTATGAGAACTAGGCAGCACACTCAGGGCTGCAAGATGGATTAAATTTAGTATTCTTATTATTAAAATATATCTGAATGAGGATCAAATGACTGAGTTGGTCTTTGAGAATAAAAGTCAACCTGTTTGTTCCTGCAGGTCTTCCTGTTTGACTGTGAATGTTTCTTCAATCTTCACATCTTCACTCTCCTCTTTAATAAACGCCATCTTTATAACAGTGTGGAGATCAGTCGCTTCAGCAGGAGTTTTTCTCTGAGTTTGGACACTTTATCCTGTTTAAAATTAACAAAACAATAAAAATGTCCCGTTTAAAATAAATTAAACAATGAACAGATACAAAATAACTTCTCTTAACACTTGCTTAAACAGTTTCTTTTAATTATCAAAAAAAGAAATCAGGTAAAACATTTTTTTTTAAATAGAGGTAAAATTGGTTTTATATTCGCACATTCGGACTTTCCCCTTAATGATATAATTTCATTAAAGTATAACTTAAAGTAACTATAAAGTACAACATTGTTCACAGTCAAATAAACAGTGTTAATGTTGTTTTCAAGTCACACTTGCAAGCTAATTCCGATCAAATATTTAAAGTAACATGGTAAACAATATATAGACTGCTAAATAAACGAATGTGTGAATATAAAACCAACTTTTCCTCTTATCAGAAAAGTTTGAGAAACCCTGCTTTAAAACACTATTACACTCTTTTCGGTTTCAAACAATA